ATCTGCGTGTTCTAAGTCGATAATTGGACCTCCTGCAAGGAGCTCAATACCCGAGAATTCAGTTGACGAGAACGTTATTTGCCCCCAAATGCCCTAGTGTGGCTGAGAGTGGGGAAGTCTGCTCTCCCTCTCCAAATGCTCTCACATGGCTAAAATATTAGTCAACCTAATCGCTAAAACTGGACCACCATCCTTAAAAATCTCGGGAGCCAGTCCAACTGCTCTGCCTTGTTTCAGATTATTGCCTTTTGAACTCTAACTAGAATCGAATGACCTACTTGAACGTCCCATTCATGCTGTTTGAGAATGGTGGGTATTTGTAGAGTAGCCGAAGGTCAGCTGAACTGCTCCTTAAACTGTTCCGCCCATCGTTGTAAACGTCTGGTCTGAGAGCAGATATGTGTCGTCTTTTTCTGATAGCCCATGGAATATATACTTCAATGAGTTTATCAACAGTTATGGTGTCATCATCTTGAAATATGCAAGTCGGTGTTCTGATCACTTTTTAAGAATGTCAGCCCAGGGGATTTTACATTGTACGCCATTTACCGATGCTGTAACTGTGTGGAACGAGAGGGTTATTCTGTGATATGAAAGATAGCTGCATAGAAATAGTATATGTCGGGCACACGGATCTCTGGCTAGCGCTCTTGTAATTGTGAGACTATGACTTCAGATGTCACCAGACAAGTCAGGGTATACGACATAGAACCTAACATGTGGGTCAGCCCGGGCTATCACAACACAATAACAAGGTAAGATTATCAAGAGAAACTCCAAAACAATAGAAGTAGTAAGTGACAAAATTAGTAGTAATACTAGTAGCAGTAGTAGAAAACTCTAATCTGCTAAAAAAAAATAGTGACATCTAAAGTGAATTTTGACGCGAAATTAATTTACCCATATGTGTAGGTAGCATCTTGGCATTATAGCCGACGTCAGTTCTCGATGAAAGCCATAACTCTAATTCTTGACCCCAACTTCTAATCCTACTTTACCACGCTATTTTACAACCCTTGTTTTGCTCTGGTACGTGAACCTTACCATGGTCACTTTATAATCACTCAAAGATCATCCATAAATTATAATCTCGCCGAGAAAGTAAAACGTATAAACAAGATTTCGGAATTCATGTGGCTTAGAAAGGAAGTGGGCATTTATCACACTCTAGTTCTCTACTACATCTCTTGAAAGTTGCACTTTCTTGACTAGAATTTTAACTCGTCTGGGTTTACAGCCAGATTGTATCTTTTCGGGTAAATGTATATATGTACATATTATATATATGCTAAAAGCATTTGATAAGCAACTAGAGTATATTTAACAAGCACAGATTACTTGTGTGGGTATTCCATGACCAACGTTGTCCAAGATTGAAAAATTGATTGGCTGTCTTATATACTTTTGTGGAGGTTCAGGAAGCACTGCCTCATGTTGATAGACAATCGGAACCCTCGACACTGTGCACGACCCAACAGCCTTGCGCGCCACCTTCTCTAAGTAAATATTGCATACCTAGTAAATTATTATGGTAAGGTACTACTTGCCATTTTCAGCTTGGAAATTTTGTCTGACAAATCAGTAGTTTGATACGACTGGTACTCTAGTGCTTCAAGAAATTGACTGGCGAAACGATTAACCTCGTGAGCTACCGCGCATACAGATTGCGTTGCTAACTCTAAACTTTCATCAAGTGTGTTGCTTTCGGGGTTAACCTATCATACGTTATCAGCAGTGAAACAACTACCAAGTATTTTTCCGAACAAAACGCAGCAGCTTTCTCTATATTGTTGCTGGTCTCCATGAGTTTGTGTCTGGAGTCTTCTAGCCTACTCTCAATCATCCTCATGGTTAAGTGAGCCTATATTAATAAACTTGACACAAGCATGGCAAGGTATAAACGGTAATCCCTTTCAAATCTGTCCGCCGTTTCGTTTCAACGACCTTGAACGCGCTGACTGGAAGCGGGCATTCCGTATTTCAATTGCCGTGTGTGGGCACGGACTAGCGGGTAAGCCAGGGATTTTCGCGCACACGTTACATATTGTCGTGGATTTTTTGTGTCGTTATTTATCAGCTATTAACAGGCTTTTTTGCATGACACATCAATTTCTGTATTGCTAGTGCTTGTAACATAGTTTTATTCCAATTTATTGGCAGTTTGACGTATTTCTTGCTCACCACGTAAGTAAATCTGAAGTTAGCTTAATATAGTTATTTGTAACAATACAAACTCAAGCAAGTAAAGTTCACCGTTTTTCTAGTCAAAAAATACACCACAGATTGAGTTTTCATGAAAATTAACCGTAAAATCTTTTACATATGGTTCACCTCCTTGATTGCGGTGACGGTGAACATGGATGTCGGTAGTTGTTTATAAAATGTAAGTAGAAGCAATCAAGCGTTAACCTAATTGTGATTATTATTTAACTTGCTTTTATTTAGCCATAAAAAGTTATATTTATTAGAGGTACCATTGTTTTGTACTGAAGTGACATAATTATGTAACGTATCTGAGAAAAGAAATATGTGAGTAACAATTGACGTTTATAGTGTTGTCCAGCGGCTTTCTGAACGTCTGCAGTAATAGTGTATAACACCACATCAAGTAGGAACAAAATCTTCATGAATAAAACGATCGGTGTTTCTTGTGAGAATGGTGACACAACCATGTTTTTTAGTTAATACTGACTTGTGACGTGTCTGTTATAGGGTTCACAAATGAGTTATTATATACTCTTCACTCCGTTTCGGTAATACAGTTGTTGTGTTACTTAGGAAGTTATGAATGAATGTCACTACTTGTTAATAAAAGACTTATAGGCACAGTCTGTTACTTGGTATTTGAATAACTTATTGAATATGATACTGAGAACAAAGTTTAATTGTTTGTCTCAAAACGGATTTGTTGTTTTTCAGAATAGTATGAAGCTTATGGAATTTAGGATTACGGAAGATCGTGTGGAAAACCGGTTTACAAGTTTACGATAACTATTTTATATTGCCTACTGTTATGCTCATTCATCTAATGAATTATTTAAATATAAATATAACAACCATACGCAGTGTTTTATATTATAAATCCTGTAAGTTTGTATAATTATGGTCTAAATAAAGCCAAAACAAATATTGACGCACAATCATGTGACTGCATTACATTTCGTGGTTTCTTATAAGTTACATACAACTGAATATGCATTATAATTTAAGATTGAGGGAAGAAATAGTATGAAATATAATAGAAAGCAAAGAATTGGAATGACCTAGGTTATCAATAATAACTATACATACGTATATGTTTGAGCAGGTCAAAGGTCATTTGGTGTTAGACTTAAGGGAACATAAAGGATGGGTGGTGTAATAGTCGAGTGAAGCTCAGAAGCATATAAGATAAATTGTGTGATAATTCTAGATGTAATGAATAAATCATTGAATTAAGAACTAATAATACTAACTTGATAATGGACGTAATCTGACAACGGAAAATATGTAAGGCGGTTGTTTAATCTGTAAGGTTTTACGTGGAAGTCGCATTATTGTTTTATTTGACTCATTGATTCCTGACAATGAACAACGATATAACGCTAAGTTCTAACGACAGTTCGTAACTAATACAGTAGTACAAATTCTTAATTTTCACACACAATTATTCGTTAAAGCGATTGGTAAACCTCCCCATGAAAGTATGAAGAAGACGAAAATAAAAAATGAGAAAAAGTTTATTGATTTTTCATGACTACTAAAGTGGAAAGATAAGTTTACAAGTTGTATAAATAGTGGTATAAAATAAAGCCACAAAGAACTGTTAATCGTAAACCTGCTGTCTAGCTGTTTATAATTCTTAAGTAAAAATTGTAGACCCTTCTCTCCACCTGATTCGCGAAGCGTTCACCATATTTCTCAACAATTCGTTGTTTGCACATTCTTTGGAGCCGTTGAAGTTGTATATATTCTTTACTTCGTCTCCGTAATGAAATTACTGTGTTGTTTTGTAAATTGTGCGTATTGTCTAATTTCCATCTGCAGCAACACCTAAGAAGTTGATGAGCTATGCAGTTTATATTTTATAATTTAAATAGCTTACCTGTTAGACTTCGTCTTTTAATATATGCCAGCAGGAGATGGCGGCACGGATATCGACACATATTAAACGTGCTACAATTGCATTCACAAATACTTACATCTACTTCGTAATGTTGTCCGCGGTCAAGCATAAACAACCACTCGCCGCTTTCATATTCTAAGTTAACGAAACGCATTCTTTTTAGTTCGTATAACACTTTGGATCTTGCGAATGGGGTCAACATGTTCAGCAAGGGTATAAGACGCTGAGGAGCATCATAATTGTATGTTCGTCCACTGATTATTTGGTCTTCCATGCTTCTTCTAGAGAATGTCATTGAACTCCACTTAAAAGCCTTGTACATGCATTTGTGCAAGCGGTCGCTTTTGCGTACATATCTTTTAATCTGCCTATTTAATGACTCAACACGATTATTCGTGTTGTTACCCAAAGTTAATACACTGCCGTAAAAGGCACGCGCCCACATTGTTTTACGTGGCATCCAGAAACGTGATAGGTACTGGCCTATCACTCTGTCTCTGCGGTTTATTATTCTGTAATATTGATTAAATCTAGTGAATAAATACATTAAAAAATTACCTTCCGACCGTTTCTGCGGTTACCAGTCGAGTCAAGTAGGTTTTTAGTATTTTATCATTTGTCTAAAAGAAATTTTATGTAACCAACCATTGGTGTACCTTTTTCCGGAAAGCGCGAATCACATGAAAGGCGCACAAAATAATGTTTGCATGCCCGTGTGTTATACGGACAGCCGCGCTTTCAGATCGTGCGCAATCCATCACAAATGTTTCTGTTTTGGTCGTGTTACCCATTATCTCCTTGAATTTATCCAAAATCCACGTAACATCAGCACGCTTTTCTTTTTTTGTCCATGCAAACATAACAGTTCGACCTCGACCCCAATTGTCTGTTACCACTAACTGGAATAATGAATACCTACATAGTAGAACAAAACGAAAATCATATTCACTTTTTATTATTAGTTTTATAAGTAGAATCAATACACACGACTTCGGGATATTGATTGTACAGCCGTATCTGATCATAACTGCTGAAGCATACCGCCGTAATAGATCCATTTTCTGCATGCTCTCTAACTTGACCGTTTTGTCGCATCATCTGCAATACCTGCTTCCGAGTCCAACCTGAAATATATTTATATACACTTACCAGTGGAGAGTTCAGCTTTCATATTTTTGACATCAGCAGCGGTCACCTGCTTACCTGTTCTTCCCTTAATACTTTCGATAACTTCGTCCGTCGACTGACAGTGCAATATAACTGGTTTCAAGTTTTCTTTTTCTTCTGATGACAATCGTCTACTCAACGGATCACAAACCATCCACGAACTTGTACACGGATGGTTGTGAGTCATGTTGTAAGATTTTATAACGTATTGTTGACCCTCCAATCTTACGCGAAACATCGATTGGCAATTTAAAAATTTAGACCTTAAAGGTAACACATTAGTTAGAGTCCTCACGGTTTTTTAATCACATTCAGACCTTCTGATTTACGTTTACGACCAAACGTGCAACGAAACACTACGAACAAGTATTTATATCTCACATCCTTCAACAATCTACTTTCTGCGTGAACATAGTGTGTATGGGTCATCTGAGATAACATAGATTTATCCCATCATACTTTATGGAAATCCTTTAGCGCATTATCTAATTCAATCCAGCTTCCGAATCTCTTATTCAGCATAATACGTTGGAACGCGTCGCTTACGTTCACTGAAATTTCACTTGAGCATGAAGCACTAGATACAACATACAATAGCTATTAAAAAAAGGTTATTCCTTGAAAAAAATTAACTGAAGGAAGAACAACAAATATTTAGGACTTACCCTTCAGTTGACATTTCGTCTTAACTCACAAAAACTATGCGCATCTATAACCTTTTACGTTATTTTATCTTTCTTACGTTGTTTTCTGGACCTTATCAACAAATTATATATAGCTGTTGACTTTCACTACAGCACTTAGGACCACAGATCAAGTTTCGAAGGAACAACAGAGCTAAAGTGTGCACTACAAAACAGAAAATACTCAGTTAATGCTCTTAGCAGTTATTTAGTGTTTATTATGCATCAAAAGATGACTTATATATGGAAACATTTAATACTCATAGGACCCAACACACACACGGCAATTGAAATACGGAATGCCCGCTTCCAGTCAGCGCGTTCAAGGTCGTTGAAACGAAACGGCGGACAGATGAAAGGATTACCGTTTATACCTTGCCGGCGTTGATCGAGTGGCATGGCTCGACCATGCAGGTGTGGTCTCTGCTGAATGTACCTCATATTCTATTCATATTAAATATATTGCTTTCTCTAGCCTAACCTTGTTCTACAGCAAATATGAAATTAGGCAGGCAGTGGTCAGAAGAAAGATATTACAGGATAGTGCATAGTTTAAAACAGGATGAGGTGTTAACCGAAGGAACACTAAAAATTAGATCCAGATAACTATTCAATCCTTGATTGCCTTGTTAGTCAATGTATATTTACGCTATTTATAGGTCATATTTGCTAGAGCTTGATGTTTAAACAAGTCTATGTCGCTGAAGCAGGTAAATGCTATTAAAGCTTGTTAACGAACCATCAAAGCTAATTAGTTGATATAGATGATCAACTTTTATTATCGATTGAGCCAGTAAGTTATGTGAACTGATAGATATAACATTACGATAATATATGTGACCATTAATCAAAGGACTATTAGAATATTGGGTTTACAAAAAATAAAAACCGATTGAGAAGGTTAAGGTGGAAATAAGGATTAACAATAATAGGTTGCGTTTCTTTAGTTGAGCTCACCAATGTAGAACTATGGTCTACTATGATATATGTACTGCTCTAGTAATAGACCTAATCCTAAACTTGTCGATTTGTCATGATATAACTGCCTAATCTATAAGATCTTACGTGGAAGTCACACCATCGACTACACCAACTCACTGTATCGTATCAATTACCAATACATGATGAGGAACAAGGTTAGGCTAGAGAAAGAACAATATATTTAATATGAATAGAAGATATAAAGTAACACTGAGATGGACCACGCCTGCATGGACGAGCCATGCCACTCGATCAACTCCAGTCCATTCAAATCATTGTTCGCGCCTTCTCCATTGTTAGGTATTTATCCGCGTTAAATATTGAATATCTATTTTCTGAGTAGTCTTGTGTTCAGCTTTGAAGATTGTGTGGTTATGGTCCAATGCCACTACAAACGTACAGAGCTATTTATTTTGGGGATTTATTTACTGCTGCAGATCACTCCCTCCCTAGTAGGGTATTTGTGACCCTAGGACGTGGCCAGCAAGAAGTTTAAACCCAACGAGTCTGTTGTTGGCAAACACTCTTCTGATAGCTTACTAGGTTTAACAGCGCCTGGTCGTCTTTCCTTATTATATGGGACCGAGGTACAACATAGTAAAAAAAGAAAAAGTACAATGAAAATTTCGGCTCCTCGTAAACTTCATCGTTCTTTTCCAGCCGTCCTGGAAAAGAAAAAAAGAAAATGTAAGTGCATGTAGAAATACACTCGTATGTGCGTAAAAACAAATGTCGGCGAAAAATGGAAATAAACTCAAGCACACGTAATAGCGTTAAAAATTTTATGTTTTTTTTAAAATAAAAATATAAATATATAAGCACATTAAAATTGCTTTTTTTAAAAAATAATATATATCGTTAAAAAGAAAGATCGAGATAATATAAAATGTCGAGTAGTGCCTTACGTGCAGTAGTCGTTTAAATGTTCTGGAAATCTTACTCTTCTTCCAGAACGCGTCGTTTTAATTTTATTTTCAGATACATTCGGAGTATCATCGCTAGTGTTGGTTGTCGGTTGAGGACTTGTGAGTGTAGGAGTCGTGTTGTGCGATTGTACCGTAGGAAAGTCGTCGTGAATAGGATTTTCTTCTAAATAAGCTGCTTTTAAGCGATCGATACTGATGCTATCGTTTGTTCCGTTCTTATCGCCTATATAGTACTTAGATTCATGTTGAAGAACTTTGAAGGGTCCTTCGTATGCTGATTCGAATGGTCGTCGATGCGAGTCTCGACGAACGAAAACGTGTGTACTATATCGTAAGTCAGGTTGAACGAAAACATCAGTTGATTGAGGTCGAGTGGAAGCAGGTTTAACTGAACGCATTGCGTTTGTAAGCCTGTTCGTGTAGGAGGTTAGATCCATGTTCATTGAAGAGGACGAAGGATCCACGAATTCTCCTGGAAGTCGAAGTGTCGTTCCATAAACGAGTTGAGCCGCAGTGTATCCTATGTCAGCTTTCATTGCATTGCGGATACCTAGTAAGACGAGTGGAAGTGCGTCGGTCCACTGTGAAACGTTTGCAACTGATAGTGAAGCTTTTAATTTTCGGTGAAAACGTTCTACCAACCCGTTTGCTTGTGGGTGGTAGGCGGTCGTTCAGAAGCGAGTGCTTCCTAATAGTTTGGTCAGACGACGGAAAGGTTCAGACTCAAACTGACGTCCGCGATCTGTAATGATGGTTGAAGGGTAGCCGAAGTTTGCTACCCACCGTTCGACGAAGGTGGGGGCCACTGTTTCGGCAGTAATGTCCTTGATAGGTACTGCTTCTGCCCATCGAGTGAAACGGTCTACGCATGTTAAGAGATAAGAGTATCCATTTGAATCTGGTAAAGGTCCTTCCAAATGAAGATGGACATGGTCGAAACGAGCATCGGGAGTTTTGAATGAGCCTAAGGGACATTTATTGTGTCTGATAACCTTAGATTTTTGGCAGCTTACACAGGAGCGTGCCCACTCCCTCACGTCTTTATTCATGCCAGGCCAGCAAAACCGCTCTGCTATAAGGTTGATGGTTGCACGAACACCTGGATGAGATAGTTTGTGCAACGTATTGAAGACGATGCGTCGATAATGTTTAGGCACGATTGGGCGATCCCTACCTGTGGATGTGTCACAAAGTAAGGTTTCCTTACCTGTTCTCATCTGTTTGATGCGTAGCTTGAGGGTTGTAGACGATAACTCGTTCTGAAGATCAGTGTCTTCTTTTTGAAGCTCGGCGAGTTTAAGAAGGTCGATTCCTTGGAAACTGTTCAAGGAAGTTATGCGAGATAAGGCGTCTGCAACTACATTGTTTGCTCCAGAGATGTGTTGAATGTCTGAAGTAAACTGCGAAATGTAGTCCAGTTGTCGAGACTCACGGGGAGAGTACTTGTCAGAAGGAGAGCTTAGAGAGAAGGTGAGTGGTTTATGGTCAGTGAAAAGAGTGAATTCACGGTCTTTGATGTAGTGTTGAAAATGCCATACAGCACAATACATAGCTAGGAGTTCCCTACCGAATGTGCTGTACCTCGATTCAGTGTCTAGCAGTCTTCGAGAGAAAAATGTCAAAAGTTGCCAGGAGTTGTCAACCCATTGTTGTAAGACTCCTCCGATTGCTGAGTCGGATGAGTCTACTGCGATGCTAATGGGTGCTTGAGTGTCCTGATGTGCAAGCATTGTTGCTTTAGCAGTAAGTTCCTTAATTGTGGAGAATGCTTTTCGTGTGGTATCGTCCAAATTAATGGATTTCGCGTTTCCACGAAGTGGGTCGGTAAGAGGTTTCATGAGTAACGCGCATTTCGGTATGAATCGTCTGTAGAAACTTACAAGGCCGTTAAACGTTCGTAGTTGCTTGATCGTGGTCGGTTCTGGGTAGTCTAGAATTGCCGCCACTTTGGTCCTAAGGGGTCGAATGCCTTGAGCATCTATAGTGTGTCCTAGGAAGTCTAATGAGTCAGCTCCGATTTGGCGTTTCTGAACGTTTACAGCAATGCCGTGGTTTTGTAGTCGTTCGAAAACAAGATCCAGATGCTTGAGATGTGATTCTCTGTCCAGACTTGAGATTAGGCAGTCGTCAACATACGCATGTACGAAGTTGAAACTTCGAAAAACGTCACCGATGAACCTTTGGAATGTTTGAGCAGCGTTTCTTAGATCGAAACGTATTCGTGAAAATTTGTAGAGTCAGAAGGGAGTAGTGATGGCGGTTTTCGGTATGTCGTCTGTGGCCATGGGGATTTAGTTATACGCTTTAACTAAGTCGATTTTCGAAAAAACAGTTGTACCTTTCAAGGTAGCTGTCAAATCGTGAATGTGAGGCAACGGGTAACGATCGGGAATGGTTTTCGCATTCGATCGCCGGTAGTCACCAGTTGGGCGCCAATCGTTACTGTCCTTTTTAGGGACCATGTGCAACAGAGATGCCCATGGGCTGTTTGACGGTCGTATGATTCCTAAGTCTATCATGTGATCGAACTCGTTTTTCGCCAACCTTAGCTTTTCGGGGGCTAGTCGTCGTGCTTTAGAGAATACAGGTGGTCCTGTAGTCGTGATGTGATGTGTAACGTTGCTGGTTACACACGGTAGTTTCGGTTGCGTTTGTTGTATCCCAGGATACTTATCGAGTAGTGGTTGATAAAGTGGATCTATCGTATGCTCAATTGTGACCGGAGATAATCTGCAACCAGAAAAAGAAGTTACGCAAACGGATAATTTAGTGTTTCCGTCTACTAGCTTCCGTTTCCGCGTATCGATGATTAGATTATGGTGTTGTAGAAAGTCCATACCAATGATTGGCATAGAAACATCTGCAACAACGAAGATCCAGTGAATGGGTTTGCGTTAACCCATGTTCAGGTAAACGTACCTTTTGCCATACGTAGCGATAGGTTTTCTGTTTGCCGCCTGTAGGTTTAAAGCCGATTCGTGAAGTCGGTCGTCAGAATTCGCTGGGAGAACGCTAACTTCTGCGCCATTGTCGACGAGGTAGCGAACTCTCGTTGTCACATCTGTGACGTATAACAGACGGCTATGTTC